TAGGCAACCACCTTAGGCTAGTTTCTTGACCTTTTCTGCCCCAGCTTCCTCAATGTCAAATGGGGATAGTAACAGGATCTCACCCCAAGATACAAGGATGTAGTGCTACACAAATGTCAATAAGTGAATGAAGTGCAGGCATCACTTTGTCCTGGGTCTTTGTCCTGGGTCTTCTCAGAGGCTCATTATTACCCAGCACCACCACCCTCACCACAATCTCAGCCACTTCCTCAAAGCCAGCTGCTCCCACCTTTCCTTTTATTGGCCAAAAGCATCTTCAGAACCAACTTACCTGCTTAGAAAGCTGAGACTTCTGGAATGTCTCTAACTCAGTAGTGTGAGATCTCAGCAGCCCCATATCTGCTCTCAGAGATTGCACTTGCAGTTAGCTGTTCTGAGCCCCAAACCCTGCTTCCAATTCCAACGTTGGATGCCAGAGGGTCTTCTTGCCTGAGAGGCAGGTGGTTCCCAGATGAGTGGGGAAGCAGAACCTGAACAGGTTACAGGGGTCTGAGCCAAAACAGGGTCCTGGACCTCACTAAGCACTCCCTAACAGGAGAATCCACCCTTCTCTGACTCCTGCACCATTTGAAAGTGAAAGCTTACAAAACACAATCCCAGCAGACTCTGCCCTGCCCTCTGGATGGTGCACCCCAGTTATCAGTAAGGACGCAACGTGATCAGAGCCACAGAAACAGGGCAGGTACAGGTCCACTGACCCACCCTGCAGGGAGTCACACAGAGGGACAGACTCAGCAATAGTTTGATGAACAACTGCTACTCTCCAGGTTGGCTAACTTCTAAACCATAAGCAGACAGTGTGTATGGCACAGCCAAGACTAATACCTAGCCCTATGCATGGCTGTTCACTACTGAGACTACTCATGACAGTTGGTGAATACCATCAGGCAAGAGTCTTTGAAAAGCCCCTGGTGTAGCTGCTTTGTTTTTCTTCACCCTGAGACCACATAGGTGTGGCAACAGAGAGGTTACTACTGGGCATC